CCAAAGAATTTTCCATTCTCATATTACAAAACGCTATTCATTATTTCCTAATTTAGTAATTTCATGAGACTTGTTTTTAATTTAAAATATTTAAAATATTTTCCGAATTACTCAAGCTTGGACCTTGTCCATATCGAGTATGCATGAGTTTTTAGAAACGTGCAAAGCTATAGAAAAATTAACCAATCAGATCCAACTATATGTGACTTTGAAATGTTCCATCCTTTCTTACTTCGAGAAAAGTCTCTACACTTGTTGACACTTAAAGAATTTTAACTTGCACTCAATAACCTCCTACACATTTGATTCTGTTTAAATTGTTTTGTTATTATCGAAAGTGTATGTCATTTGCTTTACAACATACACCCCTTCTTCAAAAGAATTCGTCCTCGAATTCTAAAACTTTACAACAGTCATTTACGTCTGGGTTTTTCCGTTTTTCCCTATATAATCTGCCACCCTGGTAGAGGGTACTGTCATGGCAACGCTGTAAGGGACGCGGTGGCGCCCCGAACTTAAGCAGTGGGAATAAAAGTGTTTGGAAATCCAAGACTCTTGTTGCTTACTTCTTGTCGATCGGTGAATATTAAATAGAACCTTACAACTCAACAATTTTGAATCTTGATTCTCTCTCTGTCTCTTATCTTCTATCTTTCTCTTATTAACCTATTTGGGGGCGAGGGATAATAATCTAACCAAACCGAAATGGTGCATACCGTAACCTGTTGTCTTAATACTTAATAAAAAAGCCACAATGTATATTCTTCAGGGGTGGATCCACGGTTATTTTAAGTGGGGGTTGGGTTTTTAGGAGTGGCAGGACATGGATGCTTTGACCGCCCCCCTTGGCGTAGGGCTCGGGGCCCGCCGAATAATTTTGGTATTTTAGAGGGCGAACGGTGCCTTTCGGTACTGTTTAGAACTATGATTCAGTAAGTCAAAATTCCAATTTTCAAGTGGGGACCATTGGTGTGATTTTTTCCCAGAAATTGAAGGGGGGTCAGGACCCCCCTAACCCCCCCTTAAATCCGTCACTGTTCTTAGACAGCATTTTTACTTGAAATCTATTATATTTTTTCCACATTATTTCAGATATAATAATGATAATAATAATAATAAGAAGAAGAAATAGATATGTGCCTGGCACTTCAGATCAATCGAGTGTGACTCATTATATAAGATATTTTAATTAAAATTACATTAAGAAGAGTTCATTGCACGCGGCCACAAAAAGCTACATCCGGCTGAGTGGGCGACTGAGAGGGATTCAAATAAAGGGTATTAGTAAATTAATAGCGTTGTCTTGAGTTGTTCTCTGCACAGTACATATCAAGATAACCAATAGTTTTCCGTACCTAGGGTTATTGTTAAATCACAATGGAAAGTTCCTCACCACACAGAGAGCCGTAGTTGATCAGGGAAGTGAAGCAATGTTGACTGTAAAAAATATCAGTAGACACCGTACTCTCAAATCATGGACATAATAATTATGTCCATGCTCAAATGTAGACACTGAACTTTTTCTCTTTGATACATATGTGTTACCGAACCTGGACCATGGAAGCGAAGTCTGGCGGTTGCAATATTGTAAATTGATCTTGGGAGTAAAACCCTCTTTACACTGGACGGCGACCATAAAACTTGCCAGGTTGTCATTGGACGCTCAAAGCACGTACGGTGATCGCTTAGATCGCACACAGAACGTTCAAGCATCGTTTATCGGTCTAGCAGGAGGCAGAAATATCTAAGAATGACAGCCACTAAACGTCGATGAAGGTACAGAGAACGTAACGAAGGGTTCGTAATGAATCCTTGAACCCCGTAGGTTGTGCAGGGGACGCACAGGGGAGGTAGGCGGATAGCTCCAGTGGACGCACAGGTGGCTCGCTGTTTTACCAGTAAAACCTATATTCGGTCGTTCAAAGAAGGCACAAGGGACGAAGAAGCATTTACACTGAGACAGGATTTAATTGCTTTGGCGACAATTGAGCTTCTTGACAACATTATTGATTGTAGAAGGGACGCTGAAATGACGCCGGCCAGTGTAAAGGGGACTTAATTTAAAGTAACAAAGCTGTGCCGTCTACTGTTTATAATAAATTAAGGCGATTCCCACTAAAATACTACAGAATGATTAGCATTGAGAAGTATTGTATGAGGCTATTTAGAACT